TCTTTACCTCCACTTGCATACACACGAGGAACTAGCCCCCCCCTAACCAACTCCATGACCCCCCCGAGTCCCATCCACTGAGAACCATTCAACCTGTCAAATGTACCATCAGGTATGTAGAAAACAACCCATCAACATAGCTCAAGAATCAACTGATCTAACAACTGAAATTCCTTGGACATGTAATCCCATACCAAGTACACTACCATTCACAACAAGTGACCTGTATACCATCAATCCCAGTCAAGACTCACTTTAAAATGGAATTGTACTACCACACGTATGCAACGCACAACATTGTACTCCGTCTGTCACTAAACATACTAAAATCAGTGATCATTGACCTTTGACCCAACATTGTGTTAAGGAAGGTCTGACTCAGAGAAATGGTTGGCCAGGCCATTCCCATCGTCAATCCGACCTCAACGCCAACGTCGTTCTTGTTCTCAGGTCTAATCCTCAAGCATACATACACATCACAGCTACTAGATACTATCACGAATTCTAAGATTCTAAGATCCTAAGAAAACATACACTTAACATCCATATGCAAACGAGGGCAGTGCCCCTTCCCAAACACTAGGGCTGGACAATGATTCCTAAGACATCGCGTCCCACCCTGTCCAAAGCGGAACCTTAACAAGTGAAATTCCAAACATTCTATTCATAGTTACAACTAGGCAATGCTAACCACTACATCAATAACCTTTTTGAGTAACATGGCTGAAAACTCTTCTGTCATTAATCCATTATTAAAACCAGATTGACCAAGAAAAGGATCAAGTTTGTATGAAATGAGGCCTGTGAGTCATCTTTTCAAGAGTTGAAAACAAGGTTGACTACGGCTCCGGTGTTGGTGATACCTGAGCGTGGTTTGGGTTATGTGATCTATTGTGACGCCTCACGTGATGGTTTGGGTTGTGTACTGATGCAAGATGATAGAGTAGTGGCTTATGGGTCTCGACAGTTGAAGACTCATGAGCTTAACTACCCTACTCATGACTTAGAGTTAGCGGCAGTTGTATTTGCTTTGAAGTGTTGGAGACGCTATTTGTATGGTGAGAGATTTGAGTTGTTCTCAGATCACAAGAATCTCAAGTACCTTTTCTCCCAAAAGGACTTGAACAACAAACAGAGGTGATGGGTTGAATTCTTAGAAGACTACAACTTTGATTTGCTGTATCATCCTGGCAAGGCAAATGTGGTAGCTGATGCTTTAAGCCGAAAATCTCGTGGGACTTTGGCTAGTTTAGCCATTCAGAAATGGAAGATGCTGGAAGATTTGCCTGAAATGGGATTGTATTGCTTTGAGGATGATGATGGCAGTGAGTCAGCATTCTTGTTTAGTCTCGTGGCTCAACCCACTCTTGTTAGACTGGTGATTGAGTCACAGAGACAGGATTCAGATTTGGATGCCATTTACATTTTAATCTCTAGTGGCGAGATCGTGAAGGATTGGACCTTACATGCAGATGGAGGTCTACAGCTTAAGGGTTTGTTGGTTGTTCCTACAGTTTGTCGTGAGGACGTCTTACGGGAGTTTCATACTTCCCGCTTTGCAGTTCATCTGGGTGGTACCAAAATGTATCACAATCTGAGACGTTAGTATTGGTGGAATGGAATGAAGAAGGATGTTGCACAGTTTGTAGCTAAGTGCCTTACCTGTCAGCAGGTGAAGGCGGAGCACCAGAGACCAGCTGGTTTATTGCAGCCGTTGCCGGTAGCGCAGTGGAAATGGGAGGAGATTGCAATGGATTTTGTGACATGTCTTCCTAGATCACGGAAGGGAAATGAAGCCGTATGGGTCATTATCGATAGATTGACCAAGACAGCTTACTTCTTGCCTATTAAGGCAACAGATGATGCAGATGCACTTGGTGTACTTTATGTGAAAGAGATTGTGAGATTGTATGGAGTTCCAGTGGCTATTGTGTCGGATAGGGATGCTAAGTTCACCTCGAAGTTTTGGGAAGGACTTCAAGCAGCGTTTGGCTCAGCGTTGCACCTTAGTACTGCATTTCATCCACAGAGAGACGGCCAGTCGGAGCGTACCATCCAGATCTTAGAGGATATGCTTCGAGCCTGCGTACTTGACTTGGGTGGTAGTAGGGAGGATCACCTTCCACTTATTGAGTTTGCCTACAACAACAGTTATCAGGCGAGTATTCAGATGGCTCCATTTGAGGCGTTGTATGGTAGACCTTGTAGGTCTCCTGTCTGTTGGATTGAGGTGGGCGAGACAGCCGCCTTAGGACCCGACATTATACTCGAGACTACCGAGAAGATTAAGCTGATCAGATAGAGATTGCTTACAGCTCAAAGCCGACAGAAGAGTTATGCAAATAGGCGGAGACGACCGCTATTCTTTGAGGTGGGAGACTATGTTTTTCTTCGGGTTTCTCTAGGGAAGGGGTTGATGAGGTTCGGGAAGAGTGACAAGTTGTTGCCACGATTTATTGGACCTTTTGAGATCTTGGACCGCGTAGGAGAGGTTGCCTACAGACTAGCATTGCCACCACAGATGGATAGGGTTCATAATGTCTTTCATGTGTCGATGCTACGGAAGTACGAGCCAGATCCGTCTCACATTTTGAGTTGGGTTGATGTGGACATTGATGAGGATGTTTCCTACGAGGAGGGACCAATTCAGATCCTTGACACACACCAGAAGGTGTTGAGGAAAAAGACGATACCGTTGGTAAAAGTTCTTTGGAGGCATCATGGAGTTGAGGAGGCTACTTGGGAGCTCGAATAGGAGGTTCATTCCAAGTATCCAGAGTTGTTTTCTCCCTCAGGTATGGCCTGATTTTGGGGACGAAATCTTTTAAAGTTAGGGAGAATGTAATAGGTATGAATATATATATATATATATATATATATATATATATATTAAGGTTATAAAGTTTTTTTTTTAAAAAAAGCAAGTGGGCCCCACTAATGTATTAAAAACACCACAAAGGGCATAAGGCCATTTCACAGACCAATTTCTCTCTCTCTCTGCGTCTCTGTCTAGAAGTTTCCCTTTCTTTTCTTTTCTTTTTCTTTTCCAATTTCAAGCTTTGATTCCTCCTCCCATACTTGGAATTTTTGGGTGCTATTTGTAGCAAATCGAAGAACACGGCGAGCTCTACGTGTGAGTACCAACAATTTCAGTTTTGGTGCACTCTAGGGAGTTTGAAATTCTAGGGCTTTTGGGCTCAAATTGGGAGTTTTCATCAATTTGAGGTAGGGGTGTTCTAATCTACAATTTCTTGGCCTTTGGTTAATTTTTCCCCTTAAATTTGATCCTAAGCATGCTAAATTTTAATTACTTAGCTTGTTGTTATAGTTATGTGTAATTACAATGATAATTGTATTCTATGTGTTATTTGAGTTCATATACATGTCTATTTTCATTACAGTAAATGAGCATGCTTAGTGTTTGATGTGTTGTATGTTCCATGATTATTTATTTATTTATTGTTTTGAAGAAAAATAAATAAAGGAAATGAATGTTTAGCAATTTTCATTAAATTGTGATGATGATGTAAACGGAAATGTGTGAAAACATATAGTTAAATTAATGATTTGAAGCATGAAGCATTCATGCATTCATTGAGAAAGAGAAAAGGGGAAAAAGAATTGTTAGAACAAATAAAATTATTTTGGGAAAAATATTTTCTAAAAGTGTTGTGAAAACCGGACGCCTAGGAGGCGCTTAGTGGTCCGTGATGTTGGTGTAGTCTAGAAGGGAATGTAGTTGAGTTAACTAGGCCGGATGCGACGCCTTGGAGGTGCCTTGTGGTCGTGGATAGTTAACCAACCTTCCTTTCGTGACGCCATGGAGATGCCTTGGGTCGGACTACACTGACGGTTTGGTTGTTGAAACGGAATTGTTTCGGAAATAGGGAGTGACATTTGCATAACATTGCACTTCATGACATCGTGGTAAATTTGTGATTGGTTGATATTTGTTATATATTTGTTATTGTAGTTGAAAATGTGTGTTTTCCGATGGCATGATCCCGTTCACTTTTTATCTATTCATTGTATGGATTCACGGGGACATAAGAAGTGTGTCTTAGACACTTCCTACTGAGCTTATACTCACCCCCTTATTTTTAACATTTTTTCAGGATATGGAAAAGAGGTGGCGGACGACGGTCCACCACAGGTTTAGATGAGCTTGAAGACTCATTCTATTTTGTTATCTTTTGTATTAGATTCTAGTATTTTGTAAATGTAATATTAACTACCTTGTGACACTTTAGTTTAATTAGTATAATGTTGTAAGTTATGGACTTTTAATTCTAGCTATATTTTATGGACTGTAATTTGATGTAACTTAAGTGGGTTCCATATTTGGATGAGATGGAGGAACGGGACTTTTGTATGTATGTAACCATTTTGGGAATGTAGTATGATATCTGAATTGTGCGTTGGGACATGATAAGTTAGATTTAAGGCCTAGTGAGGCCATTACAATTATTTTTTGTATTTCAACAGGTTGTTGGGGGACATTTTCTGCGGAGGTCATGGCAAAATTTTTATAGATTTTTATTATTATTTTGGTATCTTTTCGGGTCATTACACAGCTTTGTTTCCGAACGATCACCTTTGTCTCGAAAACCTTTATGAAGTAATAAACCATCAGTAGAGGCAACAATATCGCATTAACCTTTGGAAATACGTATAGGAAAATCGTCATTGAAATCCGAAAGAAGCAAGCGATGGGATGATAAATCTGATGTGAAAATGAATGAGGGCTTGGATTTCCATATGTGAAGATGAGAGTTGATAAAATTAGGATGAGAGATGATGGTTTTCCACAACTTACAAACTAGTTTGAATCTAACAAGTGATTCAGCAGGCACTCTTGTTAGTATCTCATAAATGATATCTGCAGGCAGCCTGTGATACCTCTCGATTCTAGAGCCACGGGTGATCAAGTCCGAGCACAGATCCGAGGGATACCAAACAATTAATACATAAACGAACACAGATTACAAAATAGATTTACGAAATAAATATAAAAGCTGGAAATAATACTAAATTTAAAATCCAACAAATGATAAAGATTAATAAAAATCCAAATCTCTAAAATAGATACAACTCGGGAATCCATCTAGTGGACCCCTAAAATCCTAACTGAAATAATCAGCTGAAGACAAAATCCTAATCTAGAATATAAAATGAAATCCTACATTATCGGAGGAGTGAGTGTCTGTATTTGCTCTGCACGTCCAAGCTCTAGCCCTGGAACTGACAACACCTGAAAAATAAAGGAGTGGGTCAGGCTCACATGCAAGTCCTATTCCACTACGATCCAATCAGAAACCCGATACGCAGATACATCCTAGATAGCTCAACAATATCTAGAGTAGTCCATATATATATAATTACACACTATAGGACGCTCACTAGTCCAAGTGGTACGTCTCAGCCTGAGTAGAGATACCATGCAAATCGCACATACTGTGGTCATGTGTATCTAGACCTACCAGGGAACAGAAATCACCGTCCAGTTATCCATCCTAGGCGATATACGCACCCTAACCATGGTCCTGAGACTCAAGCTCATACCATGGCACCATAACATAAATATATAAAGTCCATTCAAGGTGTGTCATTCAAAAGGTTTATTGACCTGACACCAACTTATAAGTAGGACTTAACATTTTGCAGTTAATCCATCTTATTTCAAAATAGGTAGGACTTAGTGTTTGAACTAATCCATCCCCAATATGCCACCGTCCCATACCGGTGCATATACATACATATAAGTAGGACTTAACATTTTGCAGTTAATCCATCTTACTTCAAAATAGGTAGGACTTAGTGTTTGAACTAATCCATCCACAATATGCCACCGTCCCATACCGGTGCATATATATACCTCCACATAATAAAATTGATTAAACAGTATTAAGCAATTTATCAATTATACTCCACACTATGCATCAATATAAATTAATACATATATATCAGTATTAGGCATTAAATATAGGGCCTAAAAATAACATTCCAATAATGTAAACTGCTAAAATAATCTAAGCATTTATATTCTCCAACTTATCCATAAATTGATGCAGTTAAATAGCAAACATATATCAATTTTTAATCCAAACAAAGCATAGGTAATTTCAGGTAAGTCACTATATTTATAACTCCATCTAAATATGATTCACAACTTTAAATCATAAATAAAAACAATCTCCAATTTACAGTAATAAATTTCTTAACCATAACAGTGCACAACCTACAGGTTTTTCCCCAAGTTCACCCCACTCCATTCCTTAATCAAATTATGAATTGATGTTTCCCTATTGTTTTTATAGGTTTACAACATTCCTACACATGATTTAAAATAGTTTAAACCAAGTAGAATTACCCTGCACCGACCAAACAGACCCTAAAAATACATAACTGTGTGTTTCAGAGGAAGAGAAGGCTCAGAAAAATTTAGAGCCTTCTCCAAAATATGGGAGCCGGCTCCCCCACCCTTGGGAGCCGGCTCTAAGGCCTTGGGAGACGGCTCCCTACATGTGGGAGCCGGCTCTTGCATTGTGGGAGGCGGCTCCCTCTTTTGGGAGCCATCTCTCTCACCCCTAAGAGCCGTCTCCCCGTCTCTGTTTCGTTTTCCTCGACTCCGGCGTGTTCCACGACCTCTGTATTTGTTTTAATACTTGCTCTAAGGTTTAATTAGTGTCCTACAACAGTTATAAAGCATTGACATGCATCAAAGACATCAATTAAACAAAGCTTAAACTTAAACGAAGCATGCATCAATTAACCGAACTGAAAGAACTTGTAATACAGTTTAATTCCAACAAAGCTATTTCAGTTTACCCAGGCCTCTGTAAATCTTTTACTACGTGTTCTATTATTCAATCAATGTCCCAGACTAATTTTTAAGACATCAATATGCATCAAGGTTCTCAATTAAACATACTTTAAACATAACAACGGTATGAACCAGTTAACAGAGTTTACAGAAATTCGCATATCAATTTAATTCACTGGAACTAAAAATATTTCAAACATGCAATAAAGACTTGTTTTAGCATCCATTAAAGCCCTGGAGTCTACCTAGGCATGCACAGAACACGAGTTAAAGGGAAAGAGCTAGAATAAGACTTGCCTCCGATTTCAGTTCAGAAACCTTTAAACCTCCGTCTCTAGCAACTCCGGCGACCTTAGTTGTTTTTACTGACCTTCGTTGCTCCTAATTCAATCCACGAGCATGCATCAACACCTCCTCCTTGGTTCAGCCCTTAACTCTAAGCCAACCCTAACCTTTCTTTCTCTATTCTCTCTCTGTTCTCACAACTCTCTGTAAGACTCTGTTACGTGAATAGGGTTAACCAAAGCCCTTGGCAGACCTATACTTATATATTTATAGGTTTTAATTGAAACCCTAATTTAAATCATACACTAACCCTAAGTCGGCTATGTTCAAACATAAAACCCTAGAATCCATCCACTACCTAAGTCAGTTAGCGTTTTTTATACGTGCATATACAAGAGAAATACAATTTAACAGTTAATGCAAGAAAATAAATGTAAACAATCAATTAAAGAAAACAAATACACAATTAATTAAATTAAAATAAAATAAATCAAATAAGCAAATAAATGAAATTTAAACACCCAACTAACACATTTAAATCAAATAATTTAACAATTAATGCAAATACACACTTAATCAATTTAAAAATGCAAAATAAATAGTTAATTAAATACCAAACCTATCCTTTTGAATTTAGGAGTATTACACAGCCTATTTGAGGAGGAGTTGTCGTTCTTGCCATTGCTTTTACTGTTTCTGCCTCCCATGCTATGCTGCTTACAATTTTTTTTTCTTTCTGGAAGTAATGACTAAATAGAGTCTCTTTTCACAACTATTTTAAATTACTATTATTGGAATAATGGAGGTAGCAGTAATAATGGCACAAGGAAACCATATATTTCTATTTTTTTTTAAAAAAAACCGGAACATAATAAGAAACTGGCCTTAAATTTGTAAGGATGGTAACCGACCTAATAGTATAGGAAACTAATGTACAAGGAAAATAAAGGTAAAATAATACGACCTTGGAATAACTTTGTACAAGGAAAATAAAGGTAAAAGAATCTGACATTGGAATAACCTTGGAAATTATTAAAAACTATTTTTTTTTAACTTATAATGCCGATGTTGCGCCTCTTAGAGTATTCGCATAATTCACTCTAAAAAAATTCAAAGCAATAACCATACTAACTAGTATTTGAAATTCTGTCATAAATCATATTTGAATGAAATGATATAAAAATTCACGAGATTTTCAGGCATTCGAGTAACCAAATTTCTTTCTAAATTTGTTCAAATTATTTAATCCAATTGATTTAAGTTTATTCGAAATCGACCAATTAAGTAATAACCTCTGGTCGATGACTCTCACAAACGCAGAGCCCACCACTTTCAGCTTCACCCTCTGATCAGCCCATTCGCGCCACTCTTGGAACTGTTTCTCTTTGAATCCGTATGCCGAATTCTATTGATATATCAATTGTTGTAACCCAGAGGCAGAAAACTTGTTCTGGTTGTCAATGCAATTAATTACAGTAAAAATCAGGTGTTGTAGGGACGATATATACACTATTGGAAACAATTACTACCATAAACAATGACTAGCAAACACAACTTTGAGTTAACTTGTTCGGGTTGTCAATGCAATTAATTACAGTAAAAATCAGGTGTTGTAGGGACGATATATACACTATTGGAAACAATTACTACCATAAACAATGACTAGCAAACACAACTTTGAGTTAACTTGTTCGGGTTGTCAATGCAATTAATTACAGTAAAAATCAGGTGTTGTAGGTACGATATATACACTATTGGAAACAATTACTACCATAAACAATGACTAGCAAACACAACTTTGAGTTACTGACTTCGATTATAGTAACACCAGAAACACTTTAAATTCCAATCAACTATTCGTTTGACATGGGTGAAGTTGGTAACTTCATTAGTTTCACAGAAGACCTCATTTACCTTGGTAATAGAAAAAAAAGATAATCATCAACCTTTGAAGCAAAACCTGTGTTTAAATGTGTATGTTGAATAGATAAAAAAAAGAAATATTTCATAATTCAGTTCAAAACAAAAATGGAAATTCTTGGCTCAAAACTGCATCACAAAACAGCACCAGAAATGTGCAGATTCTAAGACGCTCACTGTGGCTCCATACATGTTTTCTATGTATAACAAAGCATCAAACATATCATTTACTAATAGTCAATTAGTTTGGTTACTTCAAACTCTAACTCAGCATAATCATCATATCAATTACAAATAGTCAATTAATTTGCTTACTTCCGTCTCTATCTCAGAGTAACGGTCCTGTAACCTATTATATTTATCCTGAGTTGCCTTCAAAAGAGCTCCATATTTTGTCATCTCGTCCTTAGTCGCCATCATTTCCCGTTGAATGCTCAATCGCTCCTCGAGCCAATCAACATCGACTCTAGCACTCTTCAAATTATCCACCAACTCCTCTGCTTCTAACAACAAAGACTCTTCATATTTACCACAATTGGCCAGCCCATGAAAGATTTGCAGAACTCTCCCAATGCATTCAAATGCAAAACGCTTAATTAAGTCATGGCGGGGGCATAAAGATGTGAAAGCCTCTGGATAACACAAAGCTGCTGGTTTCAAAAAATAGGCAAGGTTGGAAGCAATAATAACACCATTCCAATTCTCCAGGATATTCCAACTGACTAGACTTTTGACATGAGTAATCTGCAGACATGAATAAAAATAACATCTTTTTGCTTCAGCAGACCTACTGACAATAGCTTTCAACTCGTGGCTCCTCAAGTCATACAAGTACCAGCGCATTTGATTAAAATAAGGAGAATTTGAATCTTCAACGAAGATCATCAATCTGTGATTCCCTATCATTTGAATTGGGTAAAATGAATCACTCACTAAAAAACTTGCAAGACCATTAGGCTTATCAACAATTGAAAGAAGACATATTTTATGTTTCATAGCCCAAATATGATTATCCAAATCCTCCAACATCCATAACTCTAATTCCGTATCAGTGGCCGGTTTTGAGAAGTAGATCGATCCCTTCATCTCTAACAACTTGCAATTTGTCAGTTGGACATATGGGTAATCATCATAATCTATTTTTGGTTGACATGGCAAGCTTATTCCTTGCCTAAATTCCTCTTTAGCAATGTCCATTGATTGTACAAAAGCCACTTCAAGATCAGGATTAAAAGGACAATTCATAATATCAGAAGTGAATGCTAACCAATGCAATATCCCATTCACAGTGATGACCTGGAAAGCACAGCCCAGGCAAAATGCCGATGGACTGATCAATTTCCTCCATCCCTTATCTCCATCATTGTCTACAGTAATTATGCCCATCTCATTTTGGACATTAAGATCTCCATCATGATCAATAAAAACCACCACTTTATATTTTTGAATTGAAGCATCATGTACTATCCAATAAGAACAGGAACCATTATGATCTATGTGACTTGGATTTAGTGGTAATTTTTTTTTACTACCAGTAACAGGATTATGAACACACAGCCTTGTTTCCGTATGAACAAGAAAACTTTTAAGAAGTAATAAACCATCAGTAGAGGCAACAATTTCATCATAAGCTTGGGGGAAACGTACAGGAAAATCTATCGAGTCTTTGTCTTGAAGATCCGAAAGAAGCAAGCGATTGGGAAGAAAAAAAAATCTGCTGAGAAGATGAACGAGGGCTTGGATTTCCATATGTGAAGATGAGAGCTGATAAATTTAGGATTAGAGATGATGGTTTTCCACAACTTACATACTAGTTTGAATCTAACAAGTGATTCAGCAGGTACTCTTCTTAGTATGTCATAGATGATATCTATAGGCAACCAATTTGAGTTGCTGTTGTCGTTGCCCTTGCTTTTGTTGTCGCTGTTTCTGCTTCCCATCTCAGTAATTGATAAAGACAAGAGTCTCTATTCTGAAAGTGTTTCAAATCAATATCAATAATGGAGGTAGCAGTAATAAGTTAACCACAAAATAAAGATATCCCATAACATGTATTTATAATAATAATAATAACCCTAACAGTGTTGAGGAAACTAACACTAAGGAAACTAATTCATAAGGAAACCATTTATTTATTTATAACATGTATTTATAATAATAATAATAACCCTAACAGTGTAAGGAAACTAACCTGACTATAAGGAAACTATTTATTTATTTATGGTGAACGGCATCAACGAAGATCCACTATTGAAAGAAGTCTATGAATGAGGAACGATGAGTTTTCTATTAATTATCAAAATAAATGTCACATGACACTTTTGTGATATGTATTAGGAAAGTTTTCCATGAGGTGGGTCCAGTATGTATCAATGATTCTGGTTAGTCCGCTGAGGAGGTTTACAGTGTCTCGGGTATTGTACACTGAGATCTCTAGTCGTTAATCGTTATATTATTCATCAGGTGAGTCCCATTATCACATTCATAGGTTGAGAATTCCGGGAATACCATACCCGAGTATTGCAAAATTTTCTCTGCTGGGAGGAAAATTATGAGTGATTAGGAGCTGTAGTCCTCTCAATCTAAATATATACACGCATGTATAAATCACCACTAATACAGGTTTTGCGGATTATCTTTTCGGATTGTGAACACAGGAGAGAGAAAGAGAGAGGGAGGAAGCCACTGTGGAAACAATCCAAATCAGAATTCTGTGCTATGAAGCACGGACACGGACAAGGGACACGGGTACGACACGACACGGATACGGCGATACGAAAAAAACAGGACACGGATACGGCGATACGAAAAAAACATGACACGGACACGGCGGGGATATGGCTATATATATATATATATATTCAAAATCCACAATTCATCATCTAAGCATTTAAGAACCAAGCAAATAATTTATCAACTAAAAGTCATAAGTTCAATAACCAAAAATCTACAATATATGCATCTTTCACCATTGGCCATAAAACTACAACAAATAACAAGACTCTCTGTTATAACTTATAACTAATGAACTGATGCATTTATTTTCAAAGAACCACATATAATTTGAGTCTACAAAACAGTATCAAATATTTAAATTAGGATTCTTAAAGCTCACTTTATTTGGACATATCCCTCAAATTCAAATGTCGTGTTCATATACCACATCACATTTTAAAACAAAAATCTAAATGCACCATTAGAATAACAACCAGCATCTGAAAAAGGGTGCTTAAAATCATATATATTTTTTAAAAGGAAATTTAAAAATGACAATGCAAAGAAACATGACTGATTGGCAAACAGTGACCACAGAACAACATATTCTACCCAACCCTTAAAAAAAGAAAAAAGAAAAAAATAAAGATAAGAAATATGGCCAATTTCTCGCCTGGAACTTTGTCTGTAGAAAATCCATAACAAAGGTGAAGGGACCCGTAAATTATACCCTGTAGTATTTGACTAAAAAAATCTTGTTCATGTACGTACAGAGTAACAGAGATCTAATTGAAGAAGAGGAGAGAGGAAGTGAGAGAAAAGAAACCTACTTGGTGGAGTCGCTGTAGTAGACACCAGTGAGACGAAAAATCTGGTGAAGAGTTGTTGTCGCTGAGCTCGTAGTCGCATCTGGGGAGAGGAATCGCCCTGGGCAGTCGGCGAAGGAACAGAGGATTTGGGAATTTTGGGATTAGGGTACAGAAGACAGAACATGTATTGGTATTTAGAATTTTACTGTGTAGTCTTTAGTATAATAGTATGTAATTGTTTTATATTTTTTTAAAATTTTATTTTTTACTTCTAAAATTAGTAAATTACATTAGATATTCATTTATCTTTAAAAAAATTACAAAATAAACCCCACCGTGTCCGCCGCGTGTCTGCCGTGTGTCCGAGCCGTGTCTAATAAAAAATAATTTTTGGACACTCAGCAGAAGTGTCGGACACGAGTCCGAGTCTCGGACACGGGTGTCGGTGTCCGAAAAGTGTCCGATACTGGTACAGGATCCTTAGAAGGAGTGTCCATGCTTCATAGATTCTGTGTAATTCAAACCTAAATTGGGTTACATTGGGCCCTAGATACGTCCATCCAACTTGGGTTAGGTTCCGGCCTATATACGATAAGTAAAGAGAGACTTGATAATTCCCGCAGCTTTTAAAACTATTTCTGATACATACACATGCCATCGATCGCACTTTGTGAACATTGCAATCGATCTTAGGACTTTTTGCGATCTATCGTAGGCTGCAAAATTCTTATTCTTAGGCTTCTTTGAACTATTCTTTTTGAACCTTAGAAACACCATCCTTGGCTCAAAGTACTGAATTATACCCATTCTAGCAGGAAGTCAGGGAAATAACTGAATGCAAGAAAACATCATAAGTTATACTATAAAAGCATTACTAAAGCACTAACATATGCAAACTTAAAGGCTTGAATGTGCAATATTCAACATTTATCACACCTCCAACCTTACATATTGTTAGCTCCTTAGCAATATAAAATCAAAACAAAATAAAAGAACTCCTCTTTTGTGGAAGCAACGATTGCATTTAGCATATACAATAAACTATTTAAACCTTTAGATTACCCAAGTTATAGTCTTTTGAGGGTTTTCAAAGATGCTACCCACAAACATAGAAAAAAAAAAAAAAAAATTTGTGCAATTTTTATTTTTTCACTTAACTCATTTATCACCTGATTTGCAAGCATAAATATCCCAACAATCATTGAATATAAAATTACAACGAATATGTAGAATGTGCCTATCCAAAAATAAAAAATATTTGAGGGGTCATGTTTTCAACAAATGAAAAAATCAAATACTATTACGAATTACAGGAAGGGGAAATACTATTAATTGGACCCAATCGATAGAAGTGTAAATCCAACCCAATCGATAGAAGTGTAAATCCGAGCAGAGGGATGAAAATCTTCTTTTATCATTGGGTCAAGTGTAGAAGACACCTTTAAAGTATGCTTACAGTGTATATCACACCCCTCATGTGCAAAAAAACTCCCTTAAAACTTCAATGTGGTACAAATGGTCCCTTTGACAAATTTAAACCCTAAAGTGACTAAATTACTCCTACTGAATTATTTTATAACATATATAAAAATAAATAATTTTGTAAAATCGATTGTCAATAAGTGGGTTATGAAGCAGAAGGGGAAATTGGTGGAATGTAATGAAGATGAACTGACTGATACAATGCCTCAATGAGAAGTGAGGACCAATATGCCTACTGATAATGTACCTCTGCCCTCAAGTAGTATTCAAGAGCTGAAGGAAAGGGATGACCAGGGAATTGGAAGTATTACTACGCAAGACCCTCTTGGAGGTGACGAAGATAGAAGCGCAGAAACCTCTCTGGATACTGATGTTGGGATTTATATGCCCTGGTATAGCAAATTCCTATCTGGATTATAGTGACATATGTTCCTGACATATCTGAAATATTTATGATTTATATAATTGGTGAATTCAATGTATTATGTTTCGATTCACTATGAAATTGATAGTGTCACTGTAATTACAAGAAGTATTTATTTATATGTATGTGATGGCAATCAATGCATGATATATAAATAGTAATTATAAATTGTTCATAGTCGGTAATTATGGATGGACTCATAATTAATTAAGACTAGAACGGGATCCGCGTTAGGTTGAGATATATTGCGAGAGCCGTCGTATGCAATTGCTCCCTATCACCGTCATGGTATTTGACTCTTAAGCATGAGAAAAGTATAGACTCTTTTATGAATTAATAATTACTTTGATTTGTTCGGCGGATTCTTCGGGATCCTTAGACCGACACTTTGGGTAGTTATGTAATTAATAGTTAGAGGGTTATATTTTCAATATTTGCATCATTACTACTTGTATTTATTTTGTATTGATTATGGTTGATCACAAAATAAATTCGAAGGCCTTCGTATGTTTTTAGACAAAATGATTTATTATATATTTATTTATTTAAATTATTATTTTTTGTCAAACAAATGTTTTATTGTGATCGAGCCAGAAATAATCAATGGTACCAAAATAAATATATTAATTAAGTAGTCGGATTGATGGCTTTATTTATCCGATAACTAATTAAGCATAGAGGGGTCAAAGTGCAATATTGACTTAGAGGTTATTTATTATTTAATTGGAATTCAATTAATTTCTTTTAGTGGAGTAGAAATTAATTTATGAATTAATTGAATTGGGTCCATGGATTGGGCCAATTATTAATTCATTGTAGCCAATAAAATAATAGGCCCAATGGATTCTCACTCATAGCCGAACTTGATATTGGAATCATATTAGATTTGAAATATATGAATTAGAGATTGAGAATGATTTGTTGTTTCCTTTTCTTTATTTTTATGTTGCCTATAAATATACATGGTCTATGTATATTTTGAGGGTGATTTTTGGAAAAAGGAAAAAGGAATAAATTTTCTCTCTCTAGAAAATTAGGGTTAGTGTTCTCATCTAATGGAGACTCCCACAAGTCTAGTTTTCCAAGGTCATTCATGGAGGCTTATGAGTGATTTCTAAAGGCAAGACCATTACCAAGAAGATGGAGATCCATGGAAAAGGTGTCTAACAAAAGGGATCTACAATAAGTGAGAACATTCACTTTAGAGGAGAGATCTAAGGTTTACTCAAACTTTGATGTAAGTATTCAATCTTTTAATTGAATGATACATCATGTTTTATTTTTATATAAAACTTGTCTCTATGTGATGAATCAAGATCTATGAATTAAAATCCCTCGAAAAGTTTTTAAATATTGCACGTTTCCCAACAACTGATTCAGTGGAGAAGACTATACAAGTGAATGCTATGGCTCAGCGATCCCAATCTCCAAAGGTACATGTTTCTAATTCATTTAATTTACTAGAAGATGATGTGGTGGTTTTGGAGGATAATGATGAACCAGTGGATTTAGCTCTGACTTCTGCAAGTAGAAAGAAGAGGATGAGGAAGAAAATAGAGGTTTAAGTGACACAAAGAGTGACACACAATATGGTGGCCATGGAAGGGTTTACTTCCAACCCACTAGTTCCATGATTGGTTGCTGGAATGTACGTGGCTTGAATAGGCCAAAGATGCAGAAAGAGGTGAGGTTTTGGATGGGCATCACTCTCTTTTTGCTGTTTGTTTACTTGAGACAAGAGTTAAGGTAGGAAAATTTGATGTCATTACAAGGAGGATCAATAACAGATGGAAATGGATACATAATTATGCTCATCGTCATCTAGGCAGAATATGGATTGGATGGGATCCAAACAAGGTTGACATATCTTTGGTGGAGGCTAATGCTCAGACTATGCTACTGAAGGTTAATTATCTTGAGTCTCTCACTACATCATGGTTGTCTTTGGTGTATGCAGTGAATACTGAGAGTGAAAGGAAAATGTTGTGGACCACTCTTAATCAGTATGCTAATTCTGTTCGGGATGTTTCACTCACTTTGGGGGATTGGAATGCTATTAGAGAGCATGGGGAAAAAATTGGGACAATATTAACAATTTCTGCAAAACATGGTGTGAGGGCAAAAATCTCCCCTTCCAATTAAGACAAGACACATCAGCACATAAGGGGACCACCATAAACACTGAGACTATTCAACCTTCAAATTGGGCCTCTAAAAGAACTCATTAAGAAAGCCCGAGATGATGAGACCCCAAGCCCAATTACGAATAAATTACTAAATCCATTTTAGTAACAGTTCTATTAGAAGAATGATTATAATCTATGAAAACCAAATAATGTAAATCCTTATTATAAAGATAGTATGATCTGATTCAGATTCTTAAGAGCCAAGCAATGCGAGTCCTAAAAGGAATCGATTAGGGTTTTTTTTTCCTATATAAGAAGGGCTTAGACCCTCAATAAAAGACACAAGAAAAAAGGGCGAAACCCTAAAAGAGAGATTCAATTCTCATAGCCAGAACTACACGCTCAATGAGGTAGGATACATAGGCAATCTAAGTAAATCCTGTTACTTATTTTTCTCCATTATTATTTTGGGTGTATGATCCCTATGATTCCCTACATTTTTTTTTTCCAAAAATATCTATACACACAAATTTCTAATGGAATAAATCAAAATTTTAATTTTATTGATTTTCAATAAAATTAAGGTGTAGAATCTGCTAAAAATTTTCTTTACAAATAAAGGAATCCTTTTATTTGACCCCCTTGGCTGGAATTCAAGGGTTATAAAAAGCTTGTTCATGAATCATTGTGGAACTTCAATAAAGAAGGGCAAAATTTAAATGTGTTTGTTCTTCTTCTTCAGAGGTTTGGCAGAGTCTCCGTATTTTTTTCTAAGAGTTTCTTTATGTATTCTTTCTTTCTTCATCCACTATCTGGACCAATAAAATGACAACAGTTTCATTTCTTTATGATCACATAATTATAATATATATATATTTTTATGGGGATTTAATAAAGAACGGCAAATGTGTTTGTTCTTCTTTCTTTCTCCATGGGACTTTTACAAATGCCCATTATAGTCGTGCATATTTCGAGACAAACATAAACCAGCCTTCTAAACATTAGGAAATTAAATATTGTTGTGTTGATGTGATATGATAATGTTTCCCTTATGTGATAAGGAGGGATTTAATTTTCAGTAGATCATTGAGTGTGTTGGAGAGGTAAAAAAAGAAAAAGAAAAAAACACCTACTGTCACAAAGAGACATTTCCATAACCCTCTCCAATAAAGCACTC